CTGCATGCAGCAACATTCTGTCATTGCAGGCTGCTTCCCAGGACACATTTCCTGGATCCCAGTCACCCTGGTCCAAGCTCCGGGATACTCCACAGGGGATTCCCCTGCCACCTGATCTTAAGCCCAGCCCACTTGTTTTTGTTTTTTTTTGTAAACATACTCCTAAATATTTTATTCTTTTTGTTGCAGTGGTGAATGGTATTGTTTCCTTAATTTCTCTTTCTGTTTTCTCATTGTTAGTGTATAGGAATGCAAGGGATTTCTGTGTGTTAATTTTATATCCTGCAACTTTACTATATTCATTCATTAGCTCTAGTAATTTTCTGGTAGAGTCTTTAGGGTTTTCTATGTAGAGGATCATGTCATCTGCAAACAGTGAGAGGTTTACTTCTTCTTTTCCTATTTGGACTCCTTTAATTTCTTTTTCTGCTCTGATTGCTGTGGCCAAAACTTCGAAAACTATGTTGAATAGTAGTGGTGAGAGTGGGCACCCTTGTCTAGTTCCTGACTTTAAGGGAAATGCTTTCAATTTTCCACCATTGAGGATAATGTTTGCTGTGGGTTTGTCATATATAGCTTTTATTATGTTGAAGTATGTTCCTTCTATTCCTGCTTTCTGGAGAGTTTTTATCATAAATGGATGTTGAATTTTGTCAAAGGCTTTTTCTGCATTTGTTAATGTGGTGTATTACATTGATTGATTTGCAGATATTAAAGAATCCTTGCATTCCTGGGATAAAGCCCACTTGATCAAAGTTCTCACACTTTCCCACATGCATAGCCACTGTCACCATGACCTGTTTTTGGAAGGCTGACCTTCACCTGCTTTTATTCCACCCTTTAAGGATTGTCTTTAACTTTGCCATCACAGCAGGACCTTGTGGTAACCCAGTCAGGAAGAAGTCGTCCTGCCATCTTGGACCTCTTATCCCACTTCATCTGGATTTTTAAAATGCCTCTTGGCACTTTATTGTTATTCAGTTGCTCAGTCATGTCCAACTCTTTGTGACCCCATGGACTGCAGCACTCCAGCCTCCTCTGTCCTTTACTGTTTCTCGGAGTTTGCTCAAACTCATGTCCATTGAGTCAGTGATGCCATTCAACCATCTCATCCTCTGTCACCCCCTTCTCCTGCCTTCATTCTTTCCCAGCATCAGAGTTTTTTCCAACGAGTCAGTTCTTTGCATCAGGTGGCCAAAATATTGGAGTTTCAGCTTTAGCATTAGTCCTTCTAATGAACACTCAGGACTGATTTCCTTGAGGATTGATTGGTTTGATCTCTTTGCAGTCCAAGGGACTCTCAAGAGTCTTCTCCAACACCGCAGCTCAAAAGCATCAATTCTTCAGTACTCAGCTTTCTTTATGGTCCAAGTCTCACATCCATACATGACTACTGGAAAAATCATAGCTTTGACTAGATGGACCTTTGTAGGCAAAGTAATGTCTCTGCTTTTTAATACACTGTCTAGGTTTGTTGGCACTTAAAACCTGGCATTTTGGCTGTTTGGATGCATGTGTCTCATTTCCCAGACTGGGCCCTGAGCTTTGTGAGGATGACACGTACAGCTTCTTTCTCACCATGGTCCCAAGCATCCAGTACAGTTTCTGTTAGTCAGTATGCACTTGAGAGAGAAGGCAAATAATTGCATCTTTTAGACTGTTTGTTATGTGTACTTCTCAGTTAGTTTAGATACTTACAGGTAGAGAGGAATAGAAATTTAGAGTTAGACTGGACCTTTGGGAATCGTTAAATATTTAATGATATTCGGATAGTGATGACTCAGGTTTCTAGAGACTTAAGCTGATTTTCCTATTCCTAGATCTTCCAGTTGGGCCCGCTGGGTTATCTGATCTTGAACCTGTCATTCGGGGAGACCATGGTAGGTAGCCTCATTAGATTGTGGGTGTCTTTGGTCAGGAGTTGGCTGGTTCTCCTCGGTGTCCAATTTTCTGCCTTGTGTTGGGTCAGGGTAATCAGAAGTGTAGAATTTTCTTGATACAGTGGCAAAGAACAGTAAGGTCTCACTCACTTCTAATGCTTCTGTCTTTTAAATTTGCATTCTTGCTTCCATCTTGATATTAGAATATCAGACTTTTATTTAGTGCCTGTGTTTTTTTGTAGGTACAAGTTGGATATTTAGGAGTGCAGTTGAGTAGACTGTATAAATTACATAACTCATAAATTTCAATATAATCTAAGTGTAGTAACAGTGCTTGATAGTTTAATAACTACATGATATTGAGAAGAAAAAACATTATCATATGCAGTTACATATGTACATGGTTACTGAGAAGTGTCTTTTTTCTGTAAGCATTTAGAATTCAGTTATGGAGAGAGGGGTCTCACCCCATGGCACCAGCTGAAAAAATGCCTTCTTTCCAAGAGGAAAGCCCTGTAGCAAGCCCTGTAGCTGCTTGCTGGAGCACTGATTCACTGTTTTTACATAGCGCAGTTATGTCTTTCATATACTAGGATATTCTTTATAATAATAATAATAATAACAACAACTTCTTTTGTTATCTAGCTACCATGTGCCAGGCACCGTGCCAGGCACTTTTAAGTCCATTATCTCTAATCATGTCTATTTTACAGGTAAATGTAGCTGAGAGATACAGTAACTTGCGGGGTCATCCAGCTAATAAATGTTAAAACTCAGATTTGACACTTCTTTTAGTCCAACTTTGGAGTTTGTGCTCTTTTCTCTACACCACACTAGCCATACCGTCACACTTTTTAAACTTCATTTTGAAATACAACCTCTCAAGAACTTGGAAGAAGAGTCCCTGAGAGGTCCTAGGTACCCATCACTCAGCTTCTCCAGTAACTGTGCTGCTTTATCCAACCCAGAACATACGGGGCATGATAACACCAAGACTCTGACTGTGCTTGAATTTCATTGGGTTTTGCACACACTCGTTTTTGCCATGTTTTTGCATAGAGTTGGATGACAGTTGATGCCATGTGTCAGTTCATGTTCCCACCACCAACAGCCAAAATATGCAGCTCCTCTGTGGATGCAGAACTCCGGTTATAGCCACGCCCTACTTCCCCTCAGCCCCGGTGGCCACTTCTCTGTTCTCCAGCTCTACAACTTTGTTGTGTCAAGAAAGATATGAATGGAACCGTAGAGCACATGAGCTTTTGAGAGTGGTTTTATCCAGTCAGCATGATGCCCTCAAGATTCTTCTAGGTGGTTGCATGTATCCGTAGTTCATTCATTTTTGTAGCTGAGCAGTATTCCATGGCAAGAACACACCACACTCTTCGACTTTTTAAGTTTCTAGAATACCCATGAGCAGTATTTATATTTTGTGAAGAAATGACTACTTTCTTGTATTTTGTTTTAAAGAGATTTATGGTAAAAAGCAATAGTTCCCTTTATTTGTATTCCCCCACAAAGGACATCTTTTAAAGAACAAAGACTCAATAGGCAGCTTTTAAAATTTTTGTTATCAAAATCATCTAACACAGCATTAAAGAAAATATTGGATTATTGAAAATTTCTGTAGCCCTTTCTTTCTATCTTTGTCCATATGAATATATATTTTACATTTTTGGAGTCACAGTGTATTTTGTTTGCTGCTTTTTTCTACTTCAGCTTATTTTTCCATGTACCATAATTATTTTAGTGGCTTATGCTCTTCCATCAAGTTGACTATAATGTTCTTTGTCCTGATGGTCACCTTTGGCTCCATCTTCACACATGTAGCTTTTCCTCCTGTTGCTCCATAGCTGTAAGATAATGTCAGAGGAGTGTCATTGTGGGCTCAAAGAGTAGGACCATTTTTATGGTTCTTTTGATGTATGTTCCAAGACCTTGCCTTGAATCTCAACCTTTCCCTGTAGTTACCCAAAGTGTTTTAAAGCCTTGGTGATGACATCAGGCAATGGGAATACTTCACCTGTGTCCAGGGTTGTTGTCAGGACAATGCAGTCAAAGGCCCTGTTGTGGTTCCTGGCTCAGAGGACATATTCTGAACATGGCAGCTGCTGTTCTCTTGGTGTGATGATCTTTGGGTGGCTTTACTGACATTATTCCATCTTTTATGCCAGCAGTCCTCTGGACCCCTTGTGTCCAGTATTGGGTAAGGAATGATGGAGAAGCATGGTATGCACTCAGGCCCTTCTTTGGGAAAAACACCTGTGCCTAAGATACACACTGTTTCCGCGTGCCTGGCTTCTAGTGAAGGAATACAGACGTGGAAGTTCATGGCGACGAGACTAGAAGCAAGTGGTGTAATAACATCCAAACTGAATGCCGTAGAACCAAAGAGAAGGCAGTGGTCAACTATGTGATCAGATGGGAAGCAGGGCATTGTTTGAGGTGATGCTGGCTGAGCCAGGTCTGAAGCCAGGGGAGAGTGTCGGTAGTTGTGAAAGCCAGATCAGGTGAGGCAAAGAGCCCCTAGGCCTGACTATACACAAAATATTTGGAGAACTGTGAAGGCATCTACTTACTTGCAGTGTAGAATGCTGTGGGACTGCAGCCCACAAAGACAGGCTGGGAGCCACATCCCGGGGCCCCCGAGTTGTGTACCTTTAAGTTTAGTCTTTATTCTGCAGGCAGTGCACAATGGCACATGTTTAGTGTAAGTCGCTCAGTCGTGTCCAACTCTTTGTGACCCCATGGACTGTAGCCCACCAGGCTCCTCTGTCCATGGAATGCTCCAGGCAAGAATACTGGAGTGGGTTGCCATTCTGTTCTCCAGGGGATCTTCCCAACCCAGGGATTGAACCCACATCTCCTGCACTGCAGGCAGATTCTTTACCATCTGAGCCACTAGGGAAGCCCATATAGGGGATGCATTTTGGTTGCATAACTGACTATTCTAATGCTTGCTTTTTCCTGTGTGATCACTATCATATTTTTATTCATAAAAGGTGGTAAAAGGACCAAGGTAAAAATGTCCTGAAAGCACGTGGGTTTTTTAAAAGTATGTTTTTGATTGTTTAATTGTACTGACAGAAATATTGACTTGTGTCTTTTTGTCCATTACAGGATTCTGCTCTAATACTTGATGTTCCTCTGGGTGTGATCTCAAGAATTGAAAAAATGGGAGGCGCCACAAGTAGAGGAGAGAACTCCTATGGGCTAGATATTACTTGTAAAGTAAGAGATTCAGTACTTTCTTATGGGAAAAAAAGTCATGTTAGTGTTGAATGATAAGTAAAAGGTGAATGTATGTTTAAAAGAAAACTCAAAGACCCTTGTTCATCCAAGGCCCTGGAGTGGTTCTCCCTTCATGGTCAAGCGTTCCAGAATCTTCTAGGGAAAGAGTTCCTATGAAAGAAACCTGCTGTTGTCCCCAAGCATGAGGACCTGAGCCAGTCAGTTTTTGACCAGGTCTGCTCCTAGTGTCCCTTTGTGTGATGTGTCTCCAGCCAGATACCTTCACACCATGTCAGGCATGGGGAATGGCAGAGATTTAATGATAATAACCTTCAGTCAGCTATAATAGTAACCGTTTATTGAGCATCTCTGCCATTCTAAACACATGCTAGGGCCTTTGCATTAAAGCCTCAGGGCAGCCTTCTGAGATGAATAGTGATGTCCCCATTTTATAGATGGGGAGCCTGAGGCTAAGATGAATTTGGTGACTTAGCTAAGATGACCCAACTGATGGCAGAGTTGGGATCCAAATCCAGTGAGATAATAATTTTGAAAATGGCAGAATATACCTTCTTGCCAGAAAACTTCCTTCTTGGGTATTCCATATTAGAAGACTATAGTACCCAGTCCTGGAAAGATCTCAAAGGGGTTTGGAGGTCATCTGTCCAAGTGGTTCCCACATCTAGATATGCATGAGGGGCACCTGGGAAGCCCTCTTTGGGTTGACAAAGGCAAAGCTTTGGGTTCTACCTCAGATCCTACTGTAAGATAATTGGTGAAGGCTATGTCCCAGAGGCTGGGACTCTTTCAAGTGTCTCTGACCATCAGCCTAGTGCAGGGATCAGTAAAGGGCCAGAAAACACATAGTTTAGGCTTTGTGGGCCAGTAAGATCTCTGTCATACATTCTTCATTGTATTTTATTTTTTTCAACACAATACAATGTCTTTTATTTTTAAAATATAAAAAACAATCTTAGCTTGAAGACCACACCAAGACTGACCTGACGTGAAGTGTGCTGACCCCTGGCCAGTCTGAGTCCTTCATTCTGTGGATGAGAAAGGAGGTGTTTGCTCAATGGGCTTCCCTGCCTACAGGTGCCTGAAGGAGCTGACAGAGGAGCCACAGTCCTGGCCCATGTCTCCTTTTCCTGGTGTTGTGCACTGTGGTTCTTAAAGCCAATCTCCTGTACCTTGTTTTGGATTTTGAAGATAATACACTTTTGTCTCCAGTCTGTAAAAGATCAAGACTAGTACACTGTATCAGAAAGTGAAGGATTGTGTCATAATGAGACTTGAACTGAAATGTTCCCTCAATCCCCACCTTGGCAGCCTTTTGTTTATTGTGGTAGAATTCACCCTCCTTTAATACCTCATCTATAATCCTAGCTACTGTCTACCCTTTGGGGCCTAGAAATTGGGGGTTTACTTTTGAGGAAGGTTTTTCTCTTTTGCATAGAAGAATCTGTGGGGGGACAGTTGTTATATTACAGCACTTCATGGAAAATGAGGTTGCTCTTCCTATGATTTCAAAGTGACTCTCATTCTAATCGAATTGAAAAAATCCTATTTGTTGCCTTGTCAGTGGGGAAAACTTGTATTTAAATATGAATCAACCAAATTAACAAGACCGAGCACACTCTTACCCTCTGACTGTGTGTTGTAAAAACATGGGGCTGCGGAACAGGTCGGCAGTCATAATTCTCAAATGTTCCATATGTATATTTTATGGAATTAGTGTCAAGCCCAAAGACAGTGGCCTAGAACCATGTTGTAGCACAGCCTTTTAATTCTGTTATCTCCCTGGAAACACAGGACATTGTGAGAGTCGAATTCTGTTTTCTCAGGAACAGACCTGAGGGTGACAGAAAGAGAATCTGCTCCAGTGGTACAGGGTTCGCCTCGTCTCCTGCAGGTCCCCTTTCATCTGCAGTCACTAACCACAGTCCCACCGTGCTGCTTTCTCAAAATGAGAATGTGGAACCCCTACAGATTGTCTCCACCAGGGCCGCTCCTGGGGATTTCTGCTTACCAGTGGCAGCTTGCTCACGCTGGACAGAAGTCCCAGTGGTTGTCATCTACAAACAAAAGAGACGGCAGCTCCAAAAATAGGAATTCTTACCCCCCAAGCCCATGCCAGCCCCTGCTAACAACTCGGAGCTTAAAAAACTAAAAAAGCAGAGCCAGGGGTTCTGCTAAAAAAGGGCTGTTGCAGCGGGCTGTGTTTACTCTGTTATCTCAAGGCTTGGCACAGCACCACGTGTCCCAGTTGCTGAACACCAAATGTCTGATGGCCAGTCTTTTCTGCCACGTGGCTCTTGCACAGATGTTCTTCCCATCTGGGTCAGGCTCTAGGAGACCAGGTTGAAGTTACCCCCTCAGTATATGCCCATAGTCCTGTTACAGATTTGGTGATCAGCCCCCTGTGATTCACTTGCCTTTTCCACTTCAGTTTTCTCGTTGGCAAGACAGGGTAGTGATTCTCCCTGTCCTTAAATTCCATCTGAATCAGATGGCCACACCAAGACACCTAAATAAATCACTTGTGCTTTGCCACATTGAAAGTCGTGGTTTGAATCACTGATGGACCAGAATAAAGATTTACTTAGAAATGGTCTAGTTTCTGGTTGAGAGGTTAAGGGCATCATGTTATCATTGGAACCAAGGCTGATGGGAAGAAGATCCTTCATGCATCTGTGAGCCCTGGGGATCCTCAGCTAGCCACTGCTGTACTTCAGGCTCCTTAAACCCCTTAAAAGCACATCATCTTATTGAAGTGATTTTTTTTTTCCTTTTACTTGACTAGTGCTTTGCATCATGAGACAACAACTGGTGTCTCAATGTTCTTGGAAGATGTTGTGAGTCAGTTTTGGGATGTTATAAAGTTTGTTGTTGTTGTTCAGTCACTAAGTTGTGTCCGACTCTTTGTGACCCCATGGACTGCAGCATGCCAGGCTCCTCTGTCTTCCACTATTAAGTTATGTGCTTTTAAAAACGAAAGCATGGACTCCTGGAGCTGGCGAGGCCCAGTAGATGCCATCCGTATAGAGAGATGGGTGTGGGGTCATTGAAAGGTCTGAGACCCTGGTTCCTTAAATTCCCTTCACTGCCACTTGCATTTGGGGATGTGTATAGCAAGGCTTTTGTCTCCTACATGTTGAAGACTTAGGAAGCTTCAAGAGTGCTCTTGAGATAACAAGTGAAAAAACACTTAGGAAAATATGAAGATGGTGATATCTGAGAGGGCAGGGGCTGGATCTGTCTCACTCCTGAAGTATTAAAAGTGTGATGCAGAAGGTGACGGCCATCACTCAGCCCCAGAACCATGAGCAATTTAAGAGACAACCTCAAAAGCTGCCAGCTTCAAAAATGTGATAGAACTTTATATCTTTTGCTGTGTAATACAAACTGATTTTTAAGGGAGGTTATTTTACTTTACTGAATTCAGTTTGAAAGAAGGTTTCCCTGCTTATTGATAAGTTATGTATTGGAAACTATCTCTAAAATCTGATTTTGAGCATTAGTTCTTAGTTCCTAGAAGCATGGTCATTCCTACTATGGTAGATCTTAAGGTGGTCTTTATAAAAGTCTGTGAAAGTAAAATTCTGATAGTATAGTCCTAAAGAAACTAGCTCTTTGTTTTCAGCCTTGTTCCTATTTGCTGATAGCAGATATTTTAGCTCTTATACTTTTTATCTAAGTTACACCATATTGTTCCAATGAAATGTGATTTTCTTTAAACAAAAAAAGTAAAATTGTATAACAAAAAAATATTATGTTACTTATATGTGAGCTTAAAATGTCAGTCATTTCCTAATTTTTAAAAGGGAGACCTTAAAAGCATGAGGGGAGAGGGAGAGAGCTTCTGTATTTTAAAGACATGTTTGACAATTTTGAAATGATATTTTTGGCAGGTACATATTTGATAAAAGTCCTATGAATAAAATTTTTATAATTAAAATACCTCAGAAAGCAGTTAGACACTGGAGTGATACACTAGGCAAGGTTTGGTTTTTCTTTTTAATAAATGAACTTTAACTCTGTCTTCTCTTTAACATGAGTTGTCTTTACAATCATTGTGATGATGGGAATATTTTCAGGGGTTCTTAAAACCAGATATTTCAAGATATGGTACAAAACAAAGAATATTCTTAGTGGTCTAGCTTTGTTGCCTCTTCAGGTAAGTCAGTCTTCTACCAGAATAGAAGGTTTTTTGCTAATGAACATGACTCAGTTTGCAGACTGAACTGGCACATTTGTCCTTTGCCCCCAGGACTTGAGAAACCTGAGGTTTGCGCTGAAACAGGAGGGTCACAGCAGAAGAGACATGTTTGAGATCCTCACAAGATACGCCTTCCCACTGGCCCACAGTTTGGTAAGTTCCCGGGTTCTCCTCCTTTGCTTCCTCTGCTGCGTTCCCCATTGGGGGGTGTGTGCGAGGCTGTTTACCACAGAAACTTGACCTGTTCCCAGAGGGCACAAGCCTCTCCTCTGCCAGTCTATATGGGGTGGCTCCGTGCAAGTGACTCCTGCCACCCCCAAGCCTGCCCTCTACCTGGGCCAACCCTCTTCCAAAGGCCAAAGGTGGCAAGGTGACCACAGGCATGTCCATGAAGTGCTGTGACATCACATCCCAGAGCTCATCGCCCTCAGCTTGGGAACTGAGAGTGAGGCGGGTCAGTCTTCTGTGGTTCCAGTTATACGTGGAAACAAGTGCTCTGAGCCCAAGGGCCATTGTACTTCTCAAATCTGGATTTGTGGTTTAGGCGCAGATTCTTTATTTTTAAAGACTGACACTTTAAATGTCATTTCATGGGGTTTACTATATATTTGCAGGGCAGACTTATTATGCATTTGTTGCTTACAGCCTGTGACTTAGTGCATAACAAGTTTTGGGCCGTGTATATCTAGAACTTTTCCTTCCTATTTAGCAGACTTAGTAATCTCACCTTGTTTTACCGCGGGACTGAAATAAGCTTTCCACGCATCTTGCTCTTCGAACCATCTTTCTTTGTATTCTGCCTTGATCTTGCCTTCTTTTTTTCTTTTTTCCTGGCTTGTGTCCTCTTAACGCCTCCTTCACCTCTGCTGCTTGAGGTTTTTGTTGTTGTTGCTGTTTTATTTGAAACTTAAATTTCAAAAGATTTATTGATTTTATTTTTGATAGCGTTCTCAGCATTTTCTCTAAATATCTTTTTAAAAAATTTTATTGAAGTTTAGTTGATTTAATAGTGTTGTGTTAATTTCTGCTGTAGAGCAAAGTGATTCAATTATATATATGTATATACACTTTTTTGTATTCATTTCCATTTTGGTTTATCACAGGATCCTCTGCTTGACTTTAAACAAACTTGAAGGCAAACATCTATCAAGGGGAGAGCAGGGGAATAATTCTTTACATAAATATATGCCTTTAAGTATAGAATAAATAGTGCTCCAGCTAGACTGAAGGTGATGAAAGAGATCATTAAATAGAAGAACTGCTTTGTGATGGTATTCTTCTTCCTATGCCTGTCTTTTATTTATTTGTTTTGGGGCAATAGGGGCCTGAATTTTTTGTCTAGCAAGACATGGCTTCTTTCTTCCTGAATTTCATCAGCAGTTTTTCCGTCAAAGGAAATTCATGACTGATGGAAAGGGCAATTATACAAAGACTGGTGGTCTAGAGGGATCTGGAGTACACATTGTGAGTCATGTGTTGATTGGAGATTCAAATGTGATGCTTACAACAAATGTAATGATATCAAAGAGTTGAATACACGTTAAGCCTTTTCTCAGTTTTTGGTTAAATATGTGATTTAAAAGATATTTCAATATTAATATTTTTAAATGACTAGAATAAAATGTTTAATGGGAATACATCTTTGGAATTACTGTGAAAGTGAGAATGTGCATCTAATCCAGGAAAACTAATTGAGGGGATGGGTTCTGTCCTGGGTTTTGCATATCTGGCCTTACATAATCAGGGATGTAAAGATGGTTCACACAGCAGGGGTGAAGGAGCTGAGGCCCCGGTCCATCTCCTGTGTGATCTTGCTCGATCAGTCATCTCCTTTCTCTGGGATTTTCCGTCTCCTTTTGGTTTTACTAGATGGTAAAGAATCCACCTGCAATGTGGGAGACCTGGGTTTGATCCCTGGGTTGGGAAGCTACCCTGGAGAAGGGAACAGCTACCCACTCCAGTATTCTGGCCTGGAGAATTCCATGGACTGTTTCATCCATGGGGTTGCAAAGAGTCAGACACGACTGAGCAACTTTCACTTCACTTCATTTCACCCTAAAAACAGGTTAAAGTGTTGAACCAGCTTTCCCCTAAACTACTATCCCATTTCTCACTTCAGTCTGAACTTCTGGAAAAAACATTCTAGTCTCTCCACATCTCTGGTTCATTCATTCCCCCAGACCATTCTAGTATCCAGTTTTATTGAAGGTACCTTATTGGAACTGAGACCTCTCTCTGGCTGAATCTAGTGACTCACTTCAGTCTTCATTGTGTTTGATCTCCCCCAAGCATTCAATAATTTTGACCACTCTCTTTTTGTGAGTCTTGGTTTCTGTGTTGCTGTACCATCTTGACTGTTCCTTCCTCGTGTCCACTGCCTCTGTTTTTTCCTTAAGTGTAGACATCTTGGTGGTGGTTCCCTACCAACCCTCTTCTCTTGTTACTCACTTTGCCTTGATGATTTTGTTTAATCCATAGCTTAAGCTATCATTGCTATATGGGTAATTTCTAAATCTAGTCTTGACATTGGCCTTGAGCGAATCTAAATGAACCTCTCAAACACCTTCCTCTGGAAGTCTGTGAGAATCACAAGCTCACCATCTCCCTAACCTGTTTGCAGTTCACTAGACCTGTTCTTCAGCCTACATATCCCTCAATTTGGATGATCCTCAGTTTCTCAGGTTCAAGAACTTGAAGTTAACTGCCCTGCCCCAATCAGACATAAAACTTATTTATTGTATTGAAGTATAGTTGATTTACAATGTTATATTTGTTTTAGGTATAAAATATAGTGATTTAGTATTTTTACCAATTATACTCCATTTTATTATTATAAATATTGGTTATATTCCCTATGCTGTACATTATATCCTTGTATTTTATTTATGAAGTCAGCTTTCTCATTCCCCTGCCTTGCCTCCCTAGCTGCATCAATTCCAAATCCTGTAGGTTCTGCTTATTGTGTTAGTCGCTCAGTTGTGTCCGACTCTTTGAGACTCCATGGACTGTAACCTGCCAGGCTCTTCTGTCCATGGAATTCTCCAGACAAGAATACTTGAGTGGGTAGCCATTCCTTTCTCCAGGGGATCTTCCTGACCCAGGGATTGAACCTGTGTCTCCTGCCTTGGGTTCTTTACCATCTGAGCCACGAGAGAAGAAGCCCAGGTTCTGGTTATTAGTAACTCTCGAATATTTCTTCCCATCTACCTGTGCTTCCCAACTTACTTCCCTTCCAACTTATCCTCCACAGTGCTGCTGTCTTTTTTTTAAGTACTGTATGATCATGTCACTTTATGTCCCGCTCTTCACACAAAAAATGTTCAGTGACTTCCCATGGCTTATACCCTAGACTCCAAACACATAGGATGGCCCTGTGCCCCTCTGGTATATATAGAACTTTCTCAACTCAGTCTTTGGTTTCCCCATCCCCTCTACCTGAGGTCCCCTCATCTCTCTAGAGCCCATCCCTCACCATTTTGCTCAGTCCTAGATCCTTTCCCACACCTGAGCGATCCCTGGTGGGAGTTCATCACAACTGTCACTTGTTTGGAGTTTGTAGGTCCTGCTACTGGAGCACTTACCTCCCTCAGTCTGTCTTCTGTCATAATTAGGTAGTAATTGCCCATCCCCCTCCTATTCTGTGAGCTTATTAAGGCAGGATCAGCCTTTATCTATCTCTCTGCTGCTGCTGCTGCTGCTAAGTCACTTCAGTCGTGTCCAACTCTGTGAGACCCCGTAGACGGCAGCCCACCAGGCTTCCCCGTCCCTGGGATTCTCCAGGCAAGAACACTGGAGTGGGTTGCCATTTCCTTCTCCAATGCGTGAAAGTGAAAAGCAAACTACCAGGCTCCTCTGTCCATGGGATTTTCCAGGCAAGAGTACTGGAGTGGGGTGCCATTGCCTTCTCCGATCTCTCTCTCTAACCTCAGTATAATCACTTCTGCATGGGAGATGTACAATGGCAGCTTTTTTAGTGAATACAGGTTTAGAGGAAAGTGAAGGAAAATTTCGTTCTGTGGAGACACTTGGGCTGGATTTTTGGATATTGTGGGTGTGGTATCAGAGGATATAGGATTCTGGGTTGCTGTCATTGGAGTGGTCCACAGAGGGGTGCTTTGCCTTATTTTTTGTGTCTGTGCTAGGCATCCCTACTTTTTTAGTTTAGGAAGACAATAAAGTGAAAAACTGGAGGAAAAAATGGGAACTGAATGGCTCATACAAAGTTGTGGAAAATTACATTCTCTTAAGTTTTAACCACTCAAAGTCATCTTAAAAAAGAAAAACTAAAAAAAAAAAGAAAAACTATTCACCAAAACAATACAAAATACAAATTAAAAACAGATCAGCTATTGACATAGCTTTTGGAATATTAGCCCCTGCTATTCCATTCAATGTGTGCAGGTATTTCATCAGTCAAATTCATTTCAGGGTAGTGTGTTGGGTGGTGTGGGGGGAGCCATGAAGATGGATGACAGGAAGTTGTAGTAGGATGAATGAGACCTGGTTACATTTGGGGATGTGACAGAAGTGATGTGACAAACGCGTATGGCTCTGATACAGGTTGGTTGATAGCCAGTGCCATGAGAGGCCAGGGAAGCCAGCTGGGGATTCCCAGAAAGAAGGGAACAGGTCCAGCTGGAAAAGCCTGCGTGGAATTGATAGTCATTTGGGTTGGGCCTTGAGGATGGTTGTCATTTCCTGTGGACGAGGATGGTGGAGGAGGTGGTTTTTTAGGCAGAGGCAAGATCCTGACCCTCAGCACTAGGGAGGGTAAGTTGGCAACATGGAGAGTGTGTATTAGGGTCACTAGAAAGCATGGGATGGGAGGAGGGGGCACGAGCTGGGCGCCTCAGGTGGAGGGATCTGCTGACTCAGGAGCTTATACCTTGGGAAATAGCGGAGACTTAGTGAAGGTTTTGAAATAAATGAAGCCGGGAGTGGGGTCGGAGGGAGGACCAAGCGAGACGCTGGTGGTGCAGGTGGAGACCACATGCTTGGGCAATAGTTTGATCTCGGAGAACGGGGAGGAAGGCTGAGTTTTCCTTCCTTTTGAGGTCTGCGGCCTGAGGGATAGCAGGGCAGGGAAGTAAAAGACGGATTTCATTTGAGGAAGGAGGGATGGGGAATTCTGTTTTGCTCGCAGGGCCAGTTAG